GGCTTCCATAAAATCCTGAAATAACACAGCTGCTTGAATGAAAAGCAAAGAGGCACTGGTGTGCTCATGCAGACTCCAAAGCACCCTTTTGAATCATTTTGAAAGCGTACATGGGGCTATAGAAAATGCCAGAGAACTTGCTGCAAATGCATTCATGTTGTTCAAAGAGGCAGCTTTCTGGGACCGGATTTTTCCAACAGAAATGTGTAAGGGGGCAGAGGAATCCCCAGGAGTCCTGCTTCAGCCCCATCCCCCATCACCACGATGGACAATGATGAGCACATTCAAAGGATTCTCCACTGAGCCCACTTCCCCATTCATTTTTTTTTATTTCTGCTTCCTAAAACCGCACCGGTTATATGGGGAAGTTTGGTAGGGCAGCCTACAGGCAGATGTTCCTCCACCCCAATAATGACTTTTAATCAATGGTAACATTTACCATCTCATATATTATGGAGGAAGAACTGGAGAGGTTTGTTAATGTAATTTAACCAGCTGAAAACAGAATTAAATCACGGTCCTTTTTTATTTCACCTTTATTATTTTTATAAATAACTCAAGGCAGAGAAAATATATAATACTCATATTTTCCACACAACAGCAATAATCCTGTGAGGTGTGTTGCACTGAGAGAGAATGGCTGGCCCAACGTCACCTAACTAACTGGCTTTCAAACCTAAGGCAGGACTAGAACTCACAGACTTCTGGTGATTGGCCCAAAGTCTCCCAGCTGGATTTCAAATGTAAGGCGGGACTAGAACTCACAGACTTCTGGTGATTGGCCCAAAGTCACCCAGCTGGCTTTCATGTGTAAGGCAGGACTAGAATTCACTGTCTCCTGGTTTCTAAGCCAGCAACCTTAAACACTAGACCAAACTGTATATTACCTCAGTTTCTTAGCCACTCCCTATCATCCCTGTTGGCATCTCTCAGTGACTAACATAGGATATTTCTTCACTAAAAGAAAAACATTTATGGTCTTCCTCCATGAATGAATCAAAGTGCTCTTCAACCATCCAGGAGTTGGCAGAACCTGGACTGCCATCAAATTTGCTATTCCCAATGCTGCCCTCTTTCCAGCATCTGTTCCTACCCACCACCACTTCCCTCCCAAGATGATGGGTGGCAAAGCTTAATGAAATTTGTACACTTTGAAGCTGACCTTGAATTGTCACAATAAGGGGGAAATAGTGCTTTAACACAGTGGTGAAATTCTTTTTTTTTTTACTGCCGGTTCTGTGGGCATGGCTTGGTGGGCATGGCAGGGGAAGGATTCTGCAAATCCCTCCCCACTCCTGGGGGAAGGGATATTGCAAAAACTCCATTCCCACCCCACTCTGGGCCCATCCAGAGGTGGTATTTACCGGTTCTCCGAACTACTCAAAATTTCCACTACCGGAACCTGCTGAATTTCAGAACCTGTTGAATTTCACCCCTGCTTTAACATCAATATAACTAAAAGTAGCAAGCTTCTTTCACTCACAGGCCTGGGATTAAAAAAGGTTGCCAAGCATGTATGGTCCATAATTTGGACCAAAAGGAGAAAAGCCTATATATATATCCTTCAGGCACTATAAAACCTGTCCCTGTTCTTTTTATGCGTAGCAGTGGTAGTTGTGTGATTGTAACAGCGTTTATCTTTCTCAGGCATTTTAAGATGGGTGGACTTCAACTCCCAGAATTCCCCAGTGAGCTTGAAGCTCTAACTCATAATTAGGGAGTACTATCCCAGAGACATTCAGCTCATCCCATAACTAAAGAGGACATAACTTTGTTGTCATTAGCATTTCTCCAGTCTTCTCCCTTTCTAATTGTTGCACTGGCAGAAAAGAAACAAAAAATACTGGATAATTTAAAAATGCCTGTTCTTTTTAAATCTCCAGTTCTGCTTTTGCAAACATAGTTCTTTATAAAGCACATGAAAGCTGGGCTTTTCTCTTATTTTTCCAAATTCTCCCCTTATATTTGCACAAGATACACCTGAGAACACTGACCTGGCTATATTCCTATGTATGAATTTTAATTTGTTTTCCCTCCAACAATATAATACCTGAATGTTCCCTTGACTTTGACAGACAATAGGAATATATACACATACACATACACATACACATACACATACACATACACATACACATACACACACACACACACACACACACACACACACACACATACACATACAGATGTACATATACATATACATATACATATACATATACATATACATATACATATACATATACATATATATATATATATATATATATATATATATATATATATAAAACTTTCAGTGATTCCGGGTGGCTTATACAATCCTTGTGGGGGAAGAAATATACAAATAGTTCTTGACTTACAAGCACAATTGAGCCCAAAATTTCTGTTTGTAAGCGAGACAGTTGTTAAGTGAGTTTTCTCCATTTAATGGCCTTTCTTGCCCCCCTGTTGTTAAGTGAATCACTGCAGTTATCAAGTTAGTAGCATGGTTGTTAAGTGACTCTGACTTCCCTGTTGGCTTTGCTTTTCAGAAGGTCACAAAAGGTGATCGATCGCACAACCCCAGGACACTGAAACCATCCCAAATATGAGTGGGTTGTCAAGCTTCTGAAGTTTGATCACATGACCCTGCTGATGCTGCAACAGACATAAGTGTGAAAAAAGTCATAAGTCACTTTTTTCAGTACTGTTGTAATTTCAAATGGTTACTAAATGAATTGTTGTAAGTGGAGGACCAGCTGTACTTCCTACTTTTTTTCCAGTTGTTCCTTTTAACCATGCAGAACATTCTAAGGCAGACCTCAGAGCATGACTGTTTTTTTTTGGGGGGGGGGGGGAAGGTGGGAATACCTTAACTGAGAAAGACTTTGCTGAGGTCATACATCAAAAAGTCTCAGGTGGTTTATGAAGGTCTCAACAAACCTATTGGGTTTTTAACATGACAATCATTAATTTCACATCAGTTTAGCCACTCTGAGTACCTAATGAAGTGAGTTGCAACTCATAAAAGCTTAGACCTTTTTATAAAATATGCTAGTTGGAAAAGGTGCTATCAGACTCCTAACATTTTGCCTGCTAAACATAGTGGATCTTATTCATAGTGTACTGTTCTCTTGATTGCTATCCAGCAAAAGGGGGGGGGGGCATTTTTATGCAGTATTTTTTTTTCCTTAACTCAGTTGCAGAAATATTGTGCAAAATTCTTGCTTCTCCAGAACTATTCCATCTAAGGACAGTCTTGCAATCTGCAAGCTAGAGAGTCTAGGCATTATCCAGCAGAATTAGCACATTCCAAAACAGTTTATTAAATGAAGCTGGTGGTAAGTCTCTCCTTGAAGGTTTGTTTGTTTTATTCAGATATGCAAATTGTTTTGCACACCTTCCCTTTGTTTAACTTCTCTGTCTGTGCAACTTCTTTACTTTGATAACTGTAGTCTCATAACCAAAGTTAAATGACGATTCAAGTCCTCAGTTTGTTGGCTAACTAGAATAAGCCCCGATTTCCCACATTTAAGGAAATTTGGTTTAGTCAAACTCCCCAAAAACTCACATTCCCCCTCCTTGCTTCCCAAGTAATAGCAATAGCACTTAGACCTATATACCACTTCATAGTGCTTTTACAGCCTTCTCTAAACCATTTACAGAGTCAGCATATATTGCCCCCAACAATCCGGGTCCTCATTTTACCCACCTCAGAAAGATGAGTCAACCTTGAGCCGATGAGATTATTATAATTCCGAACTGCAGCTAGCAATCAGCTGAAGTAGCCTGCAGTACTGCACTCTAACCACTGCGCCACCTTGGCTCAATGGGGAAGAGGAGCACATGAAACACTTGAGACTCATCAGTAAACATTGTATATCAACCCCATCCCCTCACCATCAGTATTACAATATAAAACAGCATATTGGTGGTATAATTAGCCTAAACAATATAAGCCACAGAATAATGGTTGGCAATTTGGAGTGACTAGGTTTGAAACACACTGACCCAAATCATGCTAATCACATTACAGAATAATAACATCCAGCTCTCCATTCCTTCTTTATTGAAAAGGATAGCAGAGGCAAGATTTGTACACCTCCCAATGTTGCTTTTGGGGAGATTGGCAAGTATACAAATGTAATTAATAAAGACCAATATGATTAGTTCTGGGGGTATTTAGTTAGTATTAGCCATGGCTTTTCATCTCTATGGCCAGATTTATAGAATAACCCACAATTGGCTGAGTTTATGCATATGTGTGTGTATGTATATGCATGCGCATGCACACGCACACACACACACAGAGTTGGGCTTCAAAAATTTCAGCAATGGGTTGTCTACTTGGTTACTGGGTAGGTGTGGCCATGGTGGGCGTGGCCTAGTCGTCCTCCTGCACTGTGGTCATTTTTGCCTTCCCCAGGGTTTGGAGCAGAGGCACAGATTGGGAGAACCAGTTTGGGAGGGGGGAGGGCTCCTCCCACCTGCCCGGATGCTTCTGCACGTGCGCATGAGCAAACCGGTAGTAAAAAAAATGGAAACACACCACTGCTCCAGAGGCTTTCCTCGAGTCTCTGTGAGGGCAAAAACTGCCTCCCCCAGGCTGTGGAGGCCTTCCGGGAGACCCGTTTTTCGCCTCCCCAAGCTGCCACACAGGCCCTGTGGTGGGTGGGGCCAGCCAGGGGTAGGATTTGGAGGTTCTCCGAACTGGCCATAATATTAGCTACAGGTTCTCTTGAATCCAGGCAAACCCTTAGCAGCCCACCCATGTGTGTGTGTGTGTGTGTGTACGTACGTACGTACATACGTACATACATACATACATACTGTATATAGTATTAATACTTGATTTCAGCTTAATATACTGTATAAATTCAGCTATTGATTTTTTTCCCCCAGAAAAATGCATTGCATGAATTTAGCTGCCATGACACATCCTAAAAATCAGATTATTTGGCTACCCAGACATTCACTTTTTGGGTCCTAAAGTCACTGTCTTTTGATTCGTAGGTGGCAAAATGTGTCCCACCATCTTTTTACCTGGATCAGCCTTCCATGTGTTGCTGCAAATCCAGTTTCTTACATTCAAGATTGCTACTGGCTTCACGTAAGCTGCAGATTACATTGGTGCCAGCACCAAGTAATTGTAACATCATATTGCACGAAGGACAGTGAGTGGCATTCCTTGAGCAAAATCCCTCAAACCCCCTCCCCCATAACTTTAACCTTAAACTGCCTACTGTTGACCTCACCCCATTCCTAAGAGGTCTGTAAGGGTCGTGCATAAGCGCACCAGCGTGCCTAACTCCCCTGTCCTACTGTCCCCATGTATTTGTACCCATTTCCTGTGTTCTTATTCATGTTTATTCTTATTCCTGTTAGCTTGTACATGAGTCACAAACATAAATAAATAAATAAATAATCAGTTAGCCCCCAGAACATAATTTTATCACTACGGAAAGGGAGTAGTGTGGCTAAGTCAAAGATCTCTTTGGGTATTGGTCAGAAGGGGTTGGACTAAAAGCAGCCTTCTCCATTTTGGTGCATTCTTGCCTCCATTGATTTAAGTACTATGCCCATCATCTTCAATCCATAGGCTGTCCATTCTGCTACCAAGGACAATGAGAATTGTCATCCAAGGCACTTACTAAGAACCAGGTTAGGGAAGCTGTAGATGGAATTGGGATTCGGTGACTTAGAGACCAATCCTTCCCTTCCTGTTTATTTGAATGCATTTCACCTTTCACCTCTTCAAAATATAAATAATAGTCATTTGTCAAGAATAGTGGAAAAACCCGGAGTTTTAGCAATAGTGGAAAAAACCCAGAGTTTTAGCAAACTTCCTCCCAAAGAGGCAGATTCCCAGGCTTTGGGAGGGCTACACAACGAAAAAGTAGATTACACACAGTGAAGCAAATGCAAATGAATCGTGGCTGGTTTTCATCTCTGCTGCCCTTTAAGATTGCATTGTGGGACCATGATTGCTTAAGTCCTCTAGTATAGTTCCCAGATTCTAAACACCTGTGCTAGAAGCTCAACAGTTGCAAGGAATGAGGATGTTAAATCTATTAAGTTACCCAACTTCTTCCCTGTGAAATTAAGTAGGGCTTGTTTTTTAATCTATATTTTTACTTCATTTCTCTTGATTTTGTCTGGTTGACTGCTGAAATGCCTTCATGCAAAATTAATTTATTCTACAAGAATCTGGGAATTCCCCAAGCCCTGAGGGCCCATAGCCAATGACCGTATTGACTGAGGACTGTAGGGGTTGCTCCATCTTATCTAGAATCTATCAGTACAGAGAAGGTCCCTCCTGAAAAAATAAATGAAGCTATTCTTAAAGGAGCCTCAGGGCTAGATATAGTATATATACATTTCGCTTTTGCTGTCAGTTACATACATAATGAAGTTTTCGCTGGGACAAAAGTCTCAGATTGATAGCACTTGTTAGCGCCCTTTGCCCCAACTGAGTAGCCCAGAGTTGGGTGTGTGATTAGAAAACACCCTAGCATACTTTCATTCCTTCTGTGAGAGATTTGTGATCCTGAACAGGGAGAAAAAAAAAAACTTTGAACACTACAGCAAGCAGATAATTCCAGGGTAAGGAAATTCTCCATACTCCTTAACTCCAAAGTTTCAGACAAGAAATCAAGCCCAGAATCTCTTGATTCCTTCTGCATTTTTTGGCTAATCAAATATAGTATCCAATTTTCCCATTATCTGTTCCAAAGCCCCTAACGGGACACCTTTACATGTTGTCTAACAGCATAGTAAACAGAACTGTGCCAGTTCCCAGTTAGTATACCTAGATTTCAGCGCAATTTTTCATGGTCCCTAGCTATGAGTGGGGGAAAAAAAATTGTTTTCATTCTTGGCAGGAGCCTGACCTTGCTGGTTGGCTGTTGAGCCAGAGGAATGGCCTTAAACCTTTACCCATATACTTGCAACGAGAGATTTAAACCTCCCTGCTTTCCCTCTTTAAATCTCGTGGTATCCACTTGCAAGTCAGAAGGCTTTTGCAGAGGGCTGAGGACGTGGAAGGCTCAGGAAACCATCTTCTCCATGAACTCAATTAGGAATCGGAGGAAAACTGGCTTGTAATTATTTTATCTAATGTTTATTATCCAGGTCCATAGAATTGAGGGATATGGTCTTCGGTCCCAGGCTCTCGTCTGGTTGATCCCATTTTGTTCCCCCCTCAAATCGTGATTCCTGGAACTTGAGGCCACAGTTAATGGTCTTCTCCTGTTTGTTTGTTTGTTTTTTGGTTTTTTTATGCTTTCAGATACACCATGTTGCTTTGGCCTTTGCTTCCCGTGTTCCTGGCTGCAGTGGGCATTTGTGGCTTCTGGGTTGTGTGAGTAATAAATGCATGTTGGGGCAAATAGGTTGAGGCTACATACCTGGAAGGGAAGCACAAACTAGGTTTTGTGTTGGGAGTGGGGATGGGAAGCTCAGAGGTAGCAGAAAAGTCCAGCTGACTTCCTGGACTCATGAGGAAAATTGTGGGGAGCTGCATGAAGACATGCTGCCAAGCATGGTTAGGGAGGAGACAGCATAGCCCACAGTTCAGAGGTGGGTTGCTCCCAGTTCAGCCCAGGTCGGGGGAACCGGTAGTAGCAATGGTGGGAGCCTCCGCCCAGATGCTTCTGTGCGTGTGCAAAAGCGTTGAGTGCGAGCGCAGGTGCCTGAACCGGTAGTGAAAAAAAAATTGGCAACCCACCACTGCCACAGTTGAAGAGTAGGTGAGGCAAGAGCTGGAAAGAGACCCTCCCTAGTTTCCTGGGCTCTAATAAAGGGGAGAATTGTATTTTTAGACTTGCAAGATTCCGTCAAAGTCGCTGTAGAATAAAATGGGATTAGCTCACCTGGTTTGGTTTACCAAGACAGACACACTTCGGCAGAAAGGTTTTTATAGCAATGGATGGGAATCTTTGTTCTTTCTCTGGGCTCTAGGAAAATGGATTCTTATAAAAGATCTGACATATTATTACAGGAGAGACCTTTTGCCTCTCTGAAATAAGGTATATCTAACATGTAATTAAATCTGCTACCTCCCGTTCTTTTGTAACTATTACAATAGTTTGATCCGCAGCCATTCTAAGTAGGTTTCCTGTTAATTTCCTTTGTTGAAGGAACAATATGATGCTTAATATGTTGCTTAATAAGATGTACGTGTTAACAAAGAAAAGCAAGCAGGGGCTCACCTTAGCCTATTCAGTTGTAATGTTTTAATGGTACAAAATAGGGCTTACCTTTAATCTTTAATTAGGCAGTTTGGTCATCTTTCCACAAAGAATCTTTCTGTTAAAATGCTCTATATAAGTGGAGTAAACTGGCTTACTTGTGCAATTCAGTGGGAATTGTTGCATTTGTTTGGCAGTACAGTTCCTCTAGTGCTTAAAAAATGGCAAAGTTTTAAATAGGGTGAATGGGCTTCAATTGTTAAGGAGTCACTGGAAGAACTACAGCTTGAACCCCAAATTGTGCTGCCTTTAATAATCAGGGATATTTGAAGTAACAAGATTTGCAAATCATGCTGAGTCAAAATGTCTTCCGTATAATGTTGGCTATGTGACAAGTTCTTGTCCTTCTCCTTGGTAGCTCATCTGGTAGATTAACATTAACATATGGACTCCAGATATTTATCTCCATTCTTAGAATTCCCATCAAACCTTGATTTTTGGAGGGCTTCAAATTAGAAAAAGCTGGTTTATATTAAAAATAAATATATTTGAGAAACCATTGCTGGGGGGAAATTCTGGATGATCTGTATTATATACAAGTAATCTTTGACCACAATTGAGCCCAACATATCTGTTGCTAAGCAAGATAGTTTTAAAGTGAAATATACCCCGGTTGTTAATCACTGCAGTTGTTAAGTTAGTAATACAGTTGCCAAGTGAATTTGGCTTCTTCATGGACTTTGCTTGTCAGAAGGTCACAAAAGATGATCACATGACCCGGGGACACTGAAACCGTCATAAATATGAACCAGTTGCCAAAAGCGTCCAAATTTTGATCATGTGACCATGAGAATGCTGCAACAGTCGTAAGTGTGAAAAACTGTCATACGTCACTTTTTTCAGTGCTGTTATAAATTCAAACAGTCACTAAACAAATAGTTGGAAGTTGGGGACCAGCTGTAGCTGAAGAAAAGCTGAAGAAATGTATTTGGATTTCATTCAGATAGAAAAATTCTCTACTACAGTATTCATCATTACCTGGGGTTTTTTTTCCCCATGAGTGTGGAAAAAATGGTAACTTTAATGATGGGACAAAGTTCCATGTGGAACAAGCTGCTCTGTTCACACACAGTCCAAAACACACTACTAAAGTGTGCACAGCTGTAATGTGCATTATGAACCAGAAACATGTAGTGGGAAAAAGGACAGGAAGATGGCATCACAAAAAAAACCTGCCTACTTTAATAAGTGCATGTTAAGGATAATGGGCCTTCCATGGGGATGTCACGCCCATCCCTTGCCTATTTTTACCCACCCAAATGTGCCTGCAATATATTGTCTAGGAATTACAAGATAGGTTTTGATAAGATTGTTCTAGTTGTCTCACCAAGTTTCCATTTCTTCAGATTTGCCATGGCAGTTACAAATGGCTCCGTCAACGTCACAGAAGTGTTTCCATATATCAGGTAAGGGGGAGGGGGAATCCATATTCAGGTATTTTTTATGGGGCAGGTGGGGGAGGTTATGTCACCAACCCACAATTTTCCAGAGAATCTTCTTCTGTTCTGATCCTGTTCTTCTCCAATTCATAAAGCCCAAGTTATCCCTGGTAGAGATGAAGGCTTTTTTTGGGGGGGATAGTTGACCCTGTTTTATAGAACAGCCTCTCCAAGTTGTTCCCCTGCGTATATTTTTGTCACTTATGATTTAAGAGTGTTTCCCCGTGACCCGTCAAAACCGCGGAGGACAAAATCGCGCTCGACGAAAGCGCGCATTTGATGTCATCACAGCGCGACGAAAAAAATTAAAAATTGAAATAAAATTAAAATTAAAGCAAGCCGATTCACATAAAGGTAAGGGTTAGGGTTAGGGTTAGGGTTAGAGTTAGGGTTACGTTTAGCGTTAGGTTAAGGGTTAGCGTTAGGTTTAGCATTAGGTTAAGGGTTACGTTTAGGGTTAGATTTAGGGTTAGGTTAAGGGTTAGGTTTAGGGTTAGGTTTAGGGTTAGGTTTGGGGGGTGTTAGGGTAAGGTTTTCGCTTTATTTTTACATTTTTCGATCACAGCGCGATGTTTTCGTCGCGCTGTGATGACGTCAAATGCGCGCTTTCGTCGAGCGCGATTTTGTCCTCCGTGGTTTTGTGGTGGAACCGTGTTTCCCAATCTTAGTAATTTCTGGTAGGAATTTCAGCTCCCAGAATTCTCCTTAGTGCCCATGCTTGGCTGTGGAATTCTGGGAGTTGAAGTCCACATACTTGGAAGTTGTCATGACTCGGGATAGCTGTCCTAAATAAAAAGGGGTAAAAATGTAACCAAGCAAAAAACTGAGGATTTAAAATGGACAGATGGGTAAGAAAGGGTTTTGGGTAGGTGGAAGAAGGGTTTTGCCTCTAAATAGAAAACAATACAGATCGTCCTCAACTTATGGCCATGCTGGGGATCAAAATTTCCATCTGGCTTCCCCTATTGCATTGCTTGTCCAGATGTCTGACAAGGTGGCAAATGGTGATTACATGAGCCTAAGATTTTACAACCCTTATTGATGTATGGCAGTTGCCAAGTGCCTGAATTTTGATCACATGACCATGGGGATTCTGTGATGGTAATAAGTTGAGAACTGCTCATAAATCCCTTTTTTCAGTGCTGTTGTAACTTCAATCAGTCACTGAACAAATGTTTTTTTGGGGGAGGCTGAGGGCTACCTGTACTTTATTGTTAATGTGTGTCAATAAATCACATGCCAGTTGAGAGAAGGCATCTGTGTTAATCACCTTGCTCATCCAAGTTTGCTTAAGAATCTGGCAAAGCTAGTCTAATTGACTAGCAATTGTAATGTAATTGACTTTTATGTTTGATCTTGGGAAAATTGCAAAGATGGAGTAGAAACTGTCTACCCTTCAAAAGACGCAGGAGAGAGGAAGGGCAAACAGGGCCATCAGATAAAAGAGGGCATTTATCTGCCTAGCCTAAGCCAGGGGCTCCAAAATTGCAATGTTAAGACTTGTGGACTTCAACTCTCAGAATTTCTTAGCCAGTGTGACTGGCTGGGGAATTCTGAGAGTTGAAGTCCACACGTCTTAAAGTTGCCAAGTTTGGAGATCCCTGACCCAAGCTATAGACTGTGTCAACTTTCTTTTGCACAGAAAACATTCCTTAAAACAAATATATATTAGAAAAATCAAGTATTGGGATTTTTTTTTTAAATCAAGCTTTACCGCGGGAGTAAATAATAAAATTAATTAGAATTATAATCTAATACAACCTAAGCGCAAGCCTGGGGAAGACAATCTTTGGCTTCTTTGAATATAACATCTTGGGATGGGACTTCTGAAGCAACGAGGGAAACAGCCGCAGATTCTAAAATTGCACCTAGTTATGTGAAATTTCCTAATTTCTCGTTTCTCAGCACATGCGGTGCTTATCCACCCCAGAGTTGCGTGTTTGGACAAATTCTTAATCTAGGAGCCTTTTTAGGTAAGGTATTTTTCTTACCTTTAGGTAAGGTATTCTATTCCTCGTACTGTAAACTGCTACAAGACCATGTAGTTAATAGCTTAATACAACAATTAATTAGGCAGGCTTAATCTGCCCTCTCTTGCAATGGATACTCCTGAATATGGGAATCTTGATCGCCTCTCTCACCTCTTTCGGAAAAAGCCGGGTGACTTGTTAAAACTGTTTTTTTTTCCAGATCTATTTCTTCTGTAGAGCTCCTTTTTTAAAGAAACAATCAATGATTTTAGAATACCGGATTCTACACAATCCTCAAGCTTTACACAAAGTTAGGGCTTATGTTGGGTGAATCCAGAGCTATGGTTGATTAATGTGTTCTTTGGCTCAGTTAATTGTAGCATTTTAGTTGGGCCAATGTTTCCAGTGAAGTGTTAATACCAGTTAGAATGTACTGGTATGTCTTTAATGAAAGGCAGCAAATTCAAATGGCTCTTTCCTTATCTTTCCTCTTTCTGCAGTTAAGTACAAGGTCAACTTGTTAGAATAACAATCAGTCTTGGCATTTTTCTTATATCGAAGCTACATTATTGCATTTCGAAGAAAATTACTGTAGCCCCTTCACACTGTGACTAGTTCTCCAGTCTCTTTTCTTATCTTGCAATTGTAAAGTAATTCTCCCCTAGAATCTCTGTAGATATAAAGGTAAAGATTCTCCAAGGTAAAGATTCTCCTTGCACATATGTGCTGGTTGTTCCTGACTCTAGGGGGCAGTGGTCATCTCTCTTTCAAAGCCAAAGAGCCAGCGCTGTCCAAAGATGTCTCCGTGATCATGTGGCCAGCATGACTAAACGCTGAAGGCACAGAGAATGCTGTTACCTTCCCACCAAAAGTGGTTCCTATTTTTTCTACGTGCATTTTCTACGTGCTTTCGAATTGCTAGGTTGGCAGAAGCTGGGGCAAGTAATGGGAGCTCACTCCGTTACGTGGCACTAGGGATTTGAAACGCTGAACTGCCGACCTTTCTGATCGACAAGCTCAGCGTCTAGGCCACTGAGCCATCGCGTAGATGTAGGCATATGTAAATTGTCCTTGATGAACACTTTAGATAAGATCTACGTAACTTTGGGGTTCTTGGTCTTGGATACAACCAGAGACTTAACATAACTTAATGGGTGGGAAGGTAACAGCGTTCCATACACTTTTGGCGTTTTAGTCATGCTGGCCACATGAGCACGGGGATGTCTTCAGACAGCTCTGGCTCTTCAGCTTTGAAATGGAGATGAGCACTGCCCCCTAGAATCAGGAACGACTAGCACATATATGTGAGAGGAACTTTTACCTTTAATGAGTTGCCACAAAGAAGAGGGTGGGGTCAAATTATTCTACAAAACACCAGAGGGCAGGAAACTAATCAAAGAGAGAAGCAATCTGGAATTAAGGAGAAACTTCCTAACAGTGAGAACAATTAACTAGTGGAATAGCTTGCCTTCAGACATCGTGGGCGCTCCATCACTGGAGGTTTTTAAGAAGAGATAGACAGTCACTTATCTGAAATGGTATATGTTCTCCTGCTTGAGTAGGGGGCTGGACTAGAAGACCTCCAAACTTGGC